GTTTCCTGTTGATTTATGTCTCTGTATGATATAGTGCTCATCTTTAAAGGTTTTTCTTTCTTTCATTTTGTTTTGTTTGGCTCTTCCCTTTTTTTTTAAGTTCAACGTGTGTGTGAAAATGTATGTGTGAGGATTCCATTCCAATTTCTTATTTATTTGTCCATTTATTTTAATTTTTTTCTATTTTGTTGGGTGTATGTGTGTGCGTGTGAGTGTGCGCGCATGTGTGCGCACTAGGATTTCCTGTTTTGCCTTTGTTTTGGGGGGGTTTGGGGGTTTTTTGCTTCTTTTTTTATCCAGTATGTTTGGGGTGTGTGTGTGTGTGTGTGTGTGTGTGTGTGTAATTGTCTTTTGCTTTGATTTCTGCTTTTCTTTTCCTGTTTGTTTTTAATTTTTTTATTTTTGTCTGTCTTATTTCAGTCTACTTTCCTCTGTTCTCCTTATTGCTGCTACTGTATCTTGGACTCAGGGGGTACATACACATACCCATCACATCAACATATACACTGGTACTAGGGAGTCAGTCTTAGGAAACCTGTACCACAGTAATTTCTGAATCCTAGCTCCCAATCCTTCACCTTATTTGACTCTCAAAACTACAAGAGACAGCAAAGCTTCCTGCCTACACCCGTTTCAAAATAAAACAAATTCAAAGACCCAGTCAGGGAAGAATAGAGAGCTGAGCAAACATCAGAAGTGAAAGGCTCTCCCACTGTCACTGAATAATGTAACTAAAGAGGAAAGAGATCTGTTACAAATGAGAAAAAAAATCAATGGACAAACACAGGTAATTCCCAGTATAACAAAGTGAAAATGCCTGAAAAAAATCACATCTTGGAGTCTGAAAATATAACAGGGATCAAGGAATGGAAGGAAAAGAGTGAAAAAAGACTCAAGAAAGACAAGATGTAACACTGAAAGAACTTGTAATAGAAATCAGGTCATAACAAATTTCATACAAGAAATAAATAAAAAGATGACAAGCATGGAATTCAGAATTAATCAACAGAAGAAAGAATCTCAGAGCTTGAAGACCAAAACGTGGAATTAACCCAGTAAAAAACATAAAAAACTCAGAAAGAAAGAACAAAGCCCCCAAGAGATGTGTGATTATATCAAGAGGCCAAACCTATACCTGAATGGTAGCCCATAAGAAAGAGAAAGGGAGAACACCTTGAAGCAAGTATCCATGAAGTTATCCAAGAAAACTTTTGCCATCTCACCAGAGATATGACCATCCAAACAAAAGAGATACAGAGAACCCCCAAAAGACATCAAAGGAGAAGACCAACTCCTAGACACATAGTAATTTGTCTACACAAAGTAGGTAGAAAAGAAAAAATCCAAAAGGAGCAAGAAAGAAAGGTCAGACTACCTACCAGGGAAACCAATCAGAATAGCAGCAGACCTATTGCCAGAAATACTGCAAGTTGGAAGAGATTTGAGACCAATTTTCAAAGTCCTCAAAGATAAACAATTTCAACCAAGAATTTCCTAACCAGACAAGCTCAGTATCATCAGCAATGAAGAATTAAAATCCTTACAGACATCCAATCCCTAAGAGATTACACAGCTTCCACACCAACTCTACAGGAGACACTTAAAAGGTATTAAGCACAGAAGAAAAGGAAAAAGAATGACCATGCACTTCCCAAGAGAACAGGAGAACACAGAATCAACAGAGAATATTGCAACTGTAAACTTAAAAACACACACATACATCAACCCAAAAGTTGAAAGGAAACAAAGAAAAAACTTTATAAGCACTTCATGACAGGGCTAAACAATCTCATCTCAATAATCAGGCTGAATGTGAATATACTAAATGCACTGCTGAAAAGACACATAATGGCAAACTGGATAAAAAACCATGACCCAATAATTTGCTGCATCCAGGAAACTTACCACACCACAAGGGATGCACACAGACTCAAAGAGAGAGGATGGAAAACGAATTTCCAGGTGAAGGGATCAAAAAAAAGGCAGGAGTTGCAATCTTAATATCAGATAAAATAACCTTTAAGCCATCAAAAATGTGAAGAGACATAAAAGGACACTACATAACAATAAAAGGTTCAATCCATCAACAAAAATTATCCATCCTAAACATATATGCATCCAACACAGGAGCACCAGCATCTACAAAGCAACTACTAAGTAAACTAAAAAAAGATACTGACACTAACACTATGATAGGTGGGGACATAAATATCCTGCTAACAACCCTAGATATATCATGGAGGCAAAAAATCAACAGAGATGCAGAACCCCAACTTGACACTTGACCAATGGACTTAATAGATACCTAGAGAACACTTCACCCAGCAACCACAGAATATACCTTCTACTTATCAACACATGAAACACACTCCAAGATCGATCCCATCTTCAGACATAAATCAAGCATAAACAAATTTCATAATATTGAAAAACTGTCATGCACTTCCTCAGACCACAGTGGAATATAAATATCAACACCAACAAAATTTCCCCAAAATACACAAAGACATGGACACTAAACAGCATTATGCGGATCGATTACTGAGGCAACACAGAAATCGGAACAGAAATTAAAAGATACCTGGAAACAAATTAAAATGAAGAAACATTTTACCAACATCTGGGATGCCATTAAAGCATTATAAGAGGGGATTTAATATCTCACAAACACACATCAAGAAACTAGAAAGATTGCAAGTTAACAGCCTAACAAATCACTGAAGTGAGCAGAAAAGACAAGACCACCAAAACTCTAACTATAGCAGAAGAATTCAGATCACCAAAGCAGAAGCCCAAATAAGGGACATGAAGACAAAAATATCATAGAAAAAAAATCAACAGAACAAAAAGCTGGTTCTTTGAAAGAATAAACACGATTGATGGGCCTCTAACCAGAATGACCAAAAAACAAGAGAGAGAGAAAAAGCCCCAAAAACACAATCAGAAAAACAAAGGATCAAATCACAACACACCCCAAAGAAATACAAAAGATTATCAGAGACTACTATGCACACTTGTATGGAAAAAAACTTGATAACCTAAATGAAATGGAGAACTTTCTGACATCACACAACCTCCCCAGGTTGAAACTAGAATACCTTGAGACACTAAACAGACGAATAATAAACCAGGAAGTTGACTCTGTCATAAGAAAACTACCTACCTAAAAAAGCCCTGGACTAGACAGTTTTCCAGGAGAATTCTACAAACGTACAAAGAGGAGCTGATACCAATCCTATTGAAAGTATTCCAGGCAATTGAGAAAGACTGAATTCTCCACAAATAATTTTTAACAGCACACTGATAATAAACCGGTAAAGATCCAACAAAAAAAGTGAACTACAGGCCAATATTCCTAATGAACATAGATGCAAAAATTCTCAACAAGATTCCAGCAAATCAGATCCAACACCCCATCACAAAAATCATCCACCATAACCAAGTAGGCTTCCTCCCCGGGATGCAGGACTGGTTCAACATCCTCAAGACCATAAATGTAATTAAATACATCAACAGAGGTAAAAACAAGGAACACATGCTCATATCATTAGATGCAGAAAAAGCCTTTGATAAAATCCAGAATCCCTTCCTGCAAAAAATGCTTGAAATCTAGGCATAGAAGGAACATACCTCAAAATAGTAAGCGCCATCTACAATAAACCCACAGCCAGTATATTGCTAAAGAACAGAAACTGGAAGCATTTCCCCTGAAAACCAAAACAAGACAAGGCTGTCCACTCTCACCCTTTCTGTTCAACACTGTATTGGAAATCCTAGCAATAACAATTAGACTAGAGAAGGAAATCAGGGGTATCCAAATAAGAAGAGAAGAAATTAAGTTATCCTTCTTTGCTGTTGATATGATCCTATACCTCGAAAATCCAAGAGAATCTGCCAAAAACCTTCTTGCGCTAATAAAAGACTTTGGCAAAGTCTTGGGGTACAAAATAAATGTAACGACAACTGCATTCTTATACTCCAACAACAAACAGGCAGAGAACCAAACAAAAAGCACAATCCCATTCACAATAGTCACACAAAAAATGAAATACCTTGTCATCTTCCTAACCAGAGAAGTAAAAGGTCTTTATAATGAAAACTACAAAACAGTTCTCAAAGAAATCCAGGAAGACACAAACAAATGGAAAAATATTTTATGCTAGGAAGAATCAACATTGTTAAGATGCTCATCCTACCAAAGGCAATCTACAGATTCAATGCCATGCCCATTAAATTACCAACATCATTCTTCTCAGACCTGGAAATGACAATACAGAAATTCATACAGAAACATAAACAACCACAAAGAGCAAAAACAATCCTTAGCCAAAGAAACAAAGCGGGAGGTATCATACCTCCAGGCTTTTAAACTTTATTATAAGACTACAACAATCAAAACAGCCTGGTATTGGTACAAGAACTGGAATATGGACCACTGGAACAGGATAGAGATTGCAGAATGAAAAGCTCAATTCCTGAACCAACTTGTCTTTGAAAAAGCCTGCAACAACAACCACTTGAGAGAGGATAACCTATTCAGTAAATGGTGCTGGGAAAACTGCTGACCACAAGCACAAGATTGAAACAGGACTATTACCTATCACCATTCACAAAAGTCAGCTCTAAATGGATCAAAGACCTAAACGTAAAACTACAAACTATAAGAATCTTAGAAAATGCAGGAGACACCCTTACATTAAACGGAGCAGGCAACCAATTTCTGATCAAAACCCTAGATGTCCATGCCTTAAGAGATAAGATAGACAAATGAGACTTCATTAAACTGAAAAGCTTCTGCAAAGCAAAAGAAACCATCAACAGAGTAGGGAGACAGCCCACATACAGGAAATAACATCTGTCAACTATATATCTGACAAAGACCTAACATCCAGGATCTACAAGGAACTCAAACGTGCCAAAAGGTAAAAAACAAGTAGTTCCTTTAAGAAGCGGGCAAGATAACCATCCACAATGCCAAGCGAACCAGACCTGCAGCTGCCATGAACAGCAAAGGCCAATATCCAGCACAGTCAACCCTGTGCAGTCTCCTGGGAATCCAGTATACCTCAGACCTTGCATCTTCCTCAGGCTCCACCCTACACTGATGCTCCACCCACCTACTCAGAGCTCTATCCTTTCTGCACCCAGGGGCTGCCACATACCCACCATGACAGCTGCGTCTCCTGGTGCCTCTCTGAATCTTCCCATGGCCCAGTCTGTGGCTGACAGGCTTTGAGGTTCCACAATCCCCATGGCTTATTACCCAGATGGTCCCATCTACCCGCCTGGCTCCACAGTGCTGGTGGAAGGAGGGTAGGATACAGGTGCCAGATTCGGAGCCGGGGCTACTGCTGGCAACATTCCTCCTCCCCCTCCTGGATGCCCACCCAATGCTGCTCAGCTAGCAGCCAAGCAGGGAGCCAGCGTTCTCGTAACTCAGGGGAAGGGAAACTTCTTCATGAGCGGCTCAGAGGGTGGCTACACCATCTGGGGAGGAAGCGAGGCCACCTCGGTGCCGGGAAAGACTTATGCACCTTCAGCACTCCTCACAACGTAACTGCTTTAGTCATATTAACCTGAAGGTGCAGTTTAGACACATGTTGTCGAGGTGTCTTTCTGGTGCCCAAACTTTCAGGCACTTTCAAATTAAATAAGGAAACATGTACTTCCCCAAAGTATTGGAGGTAGGAGAGGTGTCCATTCATAAAACGAATGTGCTGATGCAGTCTAAGGACCTCCCTTTCATTCCTCTGGAGTAATACTGTACCATACTGGTCTTTGCTTTTCGTAACAAAACATCAAATTCGGTTTGGAGGGAACTTTTGATCTTCCTAAGAATTAAAGTTGCCAAATTATCCTGATTGGTCTTTAATCTCCTAAGTCTTTGATTTCCTACTGATCGTAAATGAAGCGCATTCTCGTCTGCCTCGACCTCTCCATCCTCTGCCCACATCCCTAGCCGCCCACCACCATCTTCCGCCCGCCAGTTTCCACTGACTCAACGGCACAGGACAGAAAGCCAGTCAGACGAATGCCTTCTCTGCTCACACTGCCCACGCGTCATCCTCTAACTCACCTTTCACGAGGGTCCTCCAAACCCCTCTGTGCCCCAAGCTCAGATCCCATCACTTCTGCTTCTGTGTCTCCTCAGGCAAAAGTGGGGGGTGCCTGCCGGACCCTCCTCATAGGTCGTCTCTGCACACACAGTCCCAACCCACTCTTGCTTTGGTGCCAGAAAAACTGAGCTTGATTGGAACAAAGGCTATCATGCAAACTGTACTATAAACAACAGTTTGTTTAAAATAAGAGAAGCAAGGAGAGGATGCATTGCAAAAGTCTCATTGATGTCTTTAGAGCCAAGTTAAGGGGAGTTTTTAGATCAAAAATGGGTTCCTGTTTTTTGTCAGTGTGTCTGATGCAGCTGCTCATGGCTCCCAAAAATTCCTAGACTGGGTATGGGGTCATATCGTGAATGTCTCACTGCAAAAGGACTTGAGTCCAGTGAAATCTCATTAGGATTAAGAGTATTTCAGGAATCCTTAATATTTTGATTTTTGCTTTCTGAAATTGGATTTTATTTCATTTTATCTTATTATTTCAGCTCATCTAAATTTTGTGTTCCCTACATGTGATATTTGTACCACTGACTGTTATGGAAGTTCAGCATCATATGTCTCTATCTACACTGTGGTGCACTTAGCTTGTGGATTTTTTATACTAAAAATATAGACTAAAGACTGTTTTGAAGATATGAATAAAGTGATGGAATTGCATTACACCTCAAAAAAAAAAGTGGGCAAACAACAAGAACAGACACTTTTCAAAAGAAGTTATATGGGCAGAAAACAGATACATGAAAAAGTTCTCAGCCTCACAAATCATCAGAGACATGCAAATCAAAACCACACTGAGATACCACCTAACCCCAGCAGGAATGGCCATCATTAACAAAACAAACAACAACAGATGCTGGCAAGGATGCAGAGAAATGGGAATGGTGGGAATGCACCAGTTCGACCTCCGTGGAAAACAGTGTGGTGATTTCAAAAGGAACTACAAATTGACCTTCCATGTGACCCAGCAATCCCCCTATTGAGAATATACCCAGAGGAACTCAAATCATTCTACGAAAAGATACCTGCACACACATGTTTATTGCAACTCTATTCACATTAGCAAAAACATGGAACCAGCCATGCTGCCCACTGATGTTGGATTGGATTTTAAAAATGTGGTACATATACACAATTGAATATTATGCAGCCATAAAGAAGGACAAACATATGGACTTTGGAGCAACTTGGATGGCTTTAGAGTCAATAAATACCCAGTGATCTATCACAGAAACAAACAACAGAGTTCCTCACTCATAAGCAGACCCTCATATAACATCTACCATATTACTATCAGAAAGGGATTGGCAGTAGTGGGATAATTCTGGGGTTGGAGGGTGAAGGGTGAACACAATATAAAAAGGGTGCCTTCTCAAACCAGACAAAGTGGGAAACAAAGGGAGGACCAAACTTTACCTGTACAATGACCTCTTGTATACCTAATTCCAAATTGTACATCTTTAAAATAACAAATAATAATAACAATGTTTCATTCTTTACTAACTAGAAAAATGCCATAGTTACATAAAAATTAAATTGCAGGGTAATGTATGAAATGTAATATCGTTTTTCTAAAGAGAAGAGGAGAATGTCTGTCTCTTTGTTATATGTATATTTGTTGCACATACAAGGTCTGACAATGAAGTTCACAAACTCATCCTAGAAAAAGTGTTACACACATCATTGCTGATATCACCATGGCCATCTCTGAAGTACTCCCCTTGGGGAGCTATGCACTAATGCCAGTGCCTAGTCCACCTATCAAAGCAATTGTCAAACGTTTGCTGGAATGGCCCTCAGAGCTTTTGTCATATAACCCTCGATGTCCTGAATGTCATCAAAATGTCTTTCTTTCAATATTTCCTCTTAGGTAAAGAAAAGAGTCATGGGGGTCCAGATCAGGTGAGTAGGGAGGGCATTCCAAAACAGTTATTTGTTTACGAGCTCAAAACTCCCCCACGGACAGTGCTGTGTGAGCTGAGGTATTGTCGTGAAACAAGAGCTCCTTTGGGACCATTTTTTCACACATCTTTCTCCTGCCAAGATTTTCAATTAAGATTTTCTTAACTCTTTCTCTATCGATGTTTATTTGGTCTGCAATGATTCTCACAGTCAGCTAATTATTTTGACACACAACTTAATGGGCATTTGCGATGTTTTTGTCAGTTCTGCTTGTTATTGGCTGTCCTGGCCTCTCTTCAGTGACACTGTCCCCTCAGAAAAACGTTCAATCCATTTGTGCACGGTCATTTTCTTCATGTCATTACGCCCATAAACTTGGACTAACAGGTACGTGATTTCACTTCCACTCTTGCCAAGTTTAACAAGAAATTTAATGTTTGTTCATTGCTCTAATTCAAACTCCAACATTCTCGCAACAGCAGCTCTGACGACCGTTCCAAAATTGCTTTGATGGGTGGACTAGGTGCTGGTATCAGTGCATAGCTTCCCAAAGGGGATACTTCAGAAGTCATATTCAGCAGTGAGGTATGGAGCACTTTTTAGGATGAGTTTCTGAACTTCACTGTCAGACCTTACAAGCACAGAGAAAAGTCTAGAAGCCTAAGCACCAAAATGTTACCACTGGTTAAGTGACAAGACAGAAGTAGATGAGGAAAAAGAAGGGAAGATGGCTAGCTTCTCCTCTGTGCACCTTTGTTTGGTTCGACTTAAATCATCTGTGATCTTAGAAGTCTGCAGAAAAAAAACACAAGAAAGCAGAAAACGGAGGTGGGGAAAATCTCATCTAGAATGTACTCTCTCATTCTTATTTTGAAATTGCAGACATCAGGGCCTACTCTGCCTGCATGGTCCATAACTCTAACTTTTTAAAGATCATTAATATGTTATTAATAGCTGGTCAGGAAACCAATATAAACCTAGAATAGTTATCTAGATTTAAAATGTAGGCACGTACCTTTCTTCTTTGGAAGAGTTCATATTTTCCCCATAAAGAAGTAAAACAAGTCCTTCCTCTACAGATGCAAATCTTGCCAAAATATCAGCTATATGAATTAAAGCTGTCTCAGAGCAATTTGGAGCATCCTGTACATTAAAAAGATAACAAGACAAATCATATAATTTTATGACATGCTAGCATGTCACAGACTAAAATTCAAGAGTGGTATGTAGTCCAATAACGTTATACAACCACAAAAAAAGTAATGATTTGCTCAGCTGTGAAATAATATGTCTGAGTTAAATGTGTCATTAGATTATACTATTTTACCAGCACAGTTGATGAGGCAAATAAACACATATTTTTCAACCAGACCAGTTATCGAGAATTGCTGCTCCTGTTACAGTTTTATATATAATTCTGGTTGACAAATGCAATAGCTCCTCTATTTCTATTTGGCTGCTTATTTCCTACCCATTAGCTTCCAGAATATCCAATATAATTGCATCATATATGGTATCTAACACACTATCATTCTTTGTATGGAGCGATTGGGTCACGAGGCGCATCTGAGGAAGCACAGCCCATTCAAGGGCTGGCCAACAGCCTGGAGTGTTATCTAACACAAAAACAAAAACTCGATTAACCACATTTTCTCACTTTTGACTGTAAAGGCAAGTACTAAAATACCTTTATCAACATATACCAAAATACACAAAGCAAATATTAAAAACTGGAGAACCATGTTAATACTAGAGTTCGTTTATGGTATTATGCAATTCCTGCTATTTCTGGAGTCCGCTTGTTTACCTGTCCCTGCATAAATGCCAACACACATAATCTCTATAATAACTTTGAAAAAGGATATGTTGCAACCAATACAGTCTAATAAATTTGGTGGGTTAGCTTAACTAATGATGAGTCAGGTATATTCACCTAAGGAAGAAACTCCAATTATATTAGACAGTCTATTGTTTTTCATATTAAATCTGTCTCTTAAAACAACTTCTCTACTTAGAATATTTCTTTTTTCATATGAGAGTATATGTAGTCTCTCGTGTATATATATACTCAAACACATTAACACAATTTATTCAAGCTTTCTAGTCTTTGTTTTTTTAACTTTTTTTTAAGAGTTGATGTCTCTGTCGCCCAGGCTAGCAGGCTCCTTAATAGCAAATTGCAACCTCAAACTCCAAGGCTCAAGGGGCCCTACCGCTTCAGCCTTCTGAGTAGCTGGGACTACACCTGGCTAATTTTTTTTTTTTTTTTTTTTTTTTACTACAGATGGGCTGGAGGTGTCTCACTATGTTGTACAGGCTGGTCTTGAACTTCTGGCCTCCAGTGATCATCTCTCACTTAGGCCTCCCAAAGTTCTGGGATTACAGGCATGAGCTACCAGGCCCAGCCATGTTTCTCATTTTAAATTATTTAAAGTTCTGCTTTTCCTATTAGAGCAGACTCCTTAAAGGCAATAAACATGTATTATTCAATTCTATATTCACAGTACCTAGCACAAAGCTCATGATATAGTAGTGGCCCAGTGGGTGATGCTAGATGTCTTTTTGTGTTGTTTTAGCTGGAGTGTCACCCAGGCTGGAGTGCAGTAGCATGCTCATGGCCTCCGCAGCCTATTAAATGTCTGACATAAAGCAAATCACTTCTTTCGGCCTTAGTTGTGGTAATTAAATTGTAAACAGATACACATGTGTTCAGAACTGGAATTATATACCAGTTTTCTCTCTAAAGTAACACTAGTTTTTCTTAATACAAAACAGAGTTGTTTCTTCAGGAAAGCAATCATGTTTCCAAAGGCTATAAAAATGTCATTAAAACAAATAACAAAACATTCACAAGATTTATTAAATTTGGAAGACAAATAACTTCCTAATAGAATAACTTTTCTAAGTCCTTCACATCATCAGAGATAAGACTGAATAGAAAAAAGAAATTAAGATGTTATATGTACTTTCCCCCACATGGTCATAACTAATAAATCAACCAACTGCATAAGCTATAATTTAATAATAAATAATCTGTATCAGCACAAAATACACTCATAAATGGAAAGTCAGCATAATATTTCAAATACCTCAAATTTAGAAATAAAGTCTCATTGACTTTTCACTAATACCCAAGTAAGAGAATTTTCTTCTCTTTAGTAAATCATACCAACCTTAGTTCCTTTCATTAAAGTATGAATAGGCTGAAGAAGTGTCTCTACCACAGTGCTGTTATATAAGCATTCAACTGCACATTCTTTTTGATCACAGAGTATCCGCAGAACTTCAGTCACCATACTTGCAGGAGAGTAATTCTCTAACAAACAATGAATATTTTTTAAAGTCAAAAAATTAAGTACTTTACTTTATGTATTAGCCACTGATGCTCCAAGAAATTCAACATAAAAGTTAATTAAATAGTTCAAAAGTCATTCAACTCAAAGCCCAAAGGACAATGTACTACCAGATTACAACCTAAAACTTAAGAGAATATCAACTAATGTAATATATCTTCAAACTGATAAAAGCAAGTAAATGACAATAGATATGACTGCCAAAAGACAAGAATATAAGTTCATTTGCTGTCAATATTAAATCACTGCTTGATATCGAGGATGTGGTGGAAGCAAAGGTACAACTTTTCTCCTCCTAGAAAACACCTTTACCTGTATTCATTTTTACTCTTTCTTTTAAATAACATAGGCAGAAAATTAAATGAGAGTCATCAGATGAGACAACGGGTAAAAAAGAAAGCAGAAGAGAATAGAAACTTTCATAAACTTTTATGGAAGCCAGTATACTTCTTGTATTATCATAAAACCAATGAAAATAAACAGCATTTTTAACATTTTCTTTTAAAATACAGTATGCACAGGAAGACACAAATACACATAATATAATATGGTTGGAACAGTCATGGAATTAAATGATTTTTAGTTTCTGAAATTGGCATATTTCCAGATATTTCATCTTATATCCTCAAAACATTAGTGTTCAATGTAAAACTGTCCGAAATCATATAAGTAAGACAAAATTAATTAATACTAAAACTAAGTTCAAAGTTCATTAATGTCACAATATTCCATACTCCATAAGGTGCTGACGTCAAGTCAGTATCTGACAAAAAGAAAATGGAGAAGTTCAGTGAGTTTTCAGCCAACTCCAGATGAGAAACCCTGTTTGCAAGGAGAGATATGACTTATGAGCAAGTGGCCATTCACTCACTCATCCAGTCGTTTACTACTTCTTGAGAGCCTCCTGTGTGCCAGGCACCGTACTGAGCACTGTAGACAGAGAAGTGAATAAGACAAAAACGGTCCACATGATGGTTAGACAAGATGCTAAAAATCAGAACAGAAAAGGGTGATTTTAATCATAAAGGAAGCACAGTACATTACAGGAGTCCACAGTGGGGGTGCCGAACTGGTGTTTCACACACGTGCGGGCGCTAAAGGCAGAAAAACGCTGAGAACCGCTGCTACCACGGATCACCAGGCGACACAAGAGCACAGATAAAACTTACCAGGGGATACGTATATCACGACACCCATACACAGCCTAAATCATGGGTTTCTTTGATTCACCTTGATTCCTCTCAGAATCTGTGACAGCAATCCTAGGGTAATTTCCTAGTTTTAGAACTGTGTAAGTCTATGCCTTATTGTCACGTTTTGTAATTAAGAGCTTTACTTTGGAAACTTTTATTGATATTCAAAGAAAAAGCATAAGTTATCTTTTATTTTTTATTTTATTTTATTTTTTTTTTGAGTTGGAGTCTTACTCTGTCGCACAGACTGGAGCGCAGTGGCCGCTCCCGGCCACCGCAGCCTCAACCTGCTGGGCTCCGGCAATCCTTCCACCTCAGCCTTCCAGGTAGCTGGAATTACAGGCGCGCGCTACCACGCCCGGCTGATTTTTGGATTTATTGTAGAGATGAGGTCTCGCTGCCCAGGCGGGTCTCAAACCCGTGGGCTCAGGCAATCCACTCACCTCAGCCTCCCAAAGGCGCGGGATGACAGGCTGAGCCACCGAGCCCGGCCATAACTTATCTTTTAGATGTTAATATTTTAAAACATTTTTAATAAGACAGTCATTAATCATAAAACTAAAAATTTTCCTGAAAAACATAAAGGTGTTTTTTTCTTTATTCTTCAAAAAAAGAAGACCCAGAAAAAGACTGAAGTTCTGGATATGAGCCAAAACAAGCATGCGGGCAGAAGACATGCACAGACACTGCTCAAAAGAAGATATACGGGCAGCCAACAGGCACATGACAAAGTGCTCAGTCTCACTCATCATCAGAATGCTTCTACACTGTTGGTGGGAATGCAAACTAGTGCAACCTCTTTGGAAGACAGTGTGGCAATTTCCGAAAGAACTAGAAAATGACCTTCCATATGACCCAGCAATTCCCCTCTTGGGAATATACCCAGAGGAACTCAAATCATTCTACAAAAAAGATACCTGCACACGTATGTTTGTTATAGTTCTATTCATGATAGCAAAAACACGGAACCAACCACGCTGCCCATCGAAGCTGGACTGCATAAAAAAAGAGTGGTACATATACATAATGGAATATTATGCAACCAAAAAGGATAAACATATGGACTTCACAGCAACTTGGATGGATTTAGAGTCGATCATACTCAGTGATCTAACACAGAAACAAAGAACAATTATCAAAATACTAAAAGAAAGGAAGATTGTCAGTAGTGGGAAACTACCAGGGGAGAGGGGGTGGGGCTGGCAGTTGAGGGAAACTGCTAGGGGAGGGAGGGACACACCTCATCGACAAGGTTACCTGCATAATCAATGTTTATATACCTAACCCTGAATTGTACCCCACATCTTTAAAATTAAAAAATTTTTAAAATAAATAAACAAAAATCCTATAAAGTATAAAAGATAGAAAAGAGCAAAAAAGAATACATTACAAGCTTTTCAAACTTCCCCTAATATCATTTATTGAGAACATTTTGATCTTAATAATGAAAAACATTAAAATTCTCAGTGATCTTGATTTGAAATAAAAGGTAGTAGACTACAAATATCATTGAACAAAATTAAATTTCATGGCTTACTTTAGGACCAATGGAATTTCTCATGAATAATAGTGTATTTTGATGAAACCTTTTCACCAAAGTAGGTCAGTCACTCAAAACATCTAGACAATAGGACACTTAAATACTTTTAGATGTTTTCTATTTCTCTATTTAAACTAGAATTACCTGAATGTGCAGCTGAAGTCATCTTTGGACAATTTGGTGAGTAATAGATAAGTTGAATGAACAGAATTAGCAGATCTGTAAGGGATACTGAGTCTTTAAAAAGAAAAAAAATAATAATTTTTAGCATATGCATCCAACTTAGAAACATTTAAATGAGCTTCCATCCACCTATGCTGTTGAGTTTTTGTGGAGACTGATACAATCAACTAGAAGAAAGCTATAATCCCAGATAGCAGACTCCAGAACAAATTAAACATAGTAAGTTGAAAGATGGCAAAGCAAGCAATAGGTGCTATGTGAGAATACAGTTTTAGCATTTATTTTTTACCAATCACTCGATATAAACCTATAATAGGAAGATATATGAATCTAATCAAAACTGTTTAAGTTTATTTAGTTAGGAGTGGTAAAATTCAGCTTACCACGTTGGTCCAGCTAACTAAACACAGCACTGTAGAACAGGGCTCAGCAAACTTTAATAGTAAAAGACTAAATAGTAAATATTTTACATTTTGTGGCCAAAGGGTCTGTGTCACCAAAAAAAACTCAAGTCTGCTGTTGTAGCACTAAGTAGACATAGATGGTACACAAACGAACGAGTATGGCTGTTTTCTAATAAAACTTTATGGGCACTAAAATTTAATTTATATTTTCAAATATCACAAAATACTCTGATTTATTTCAATAATTTAAAAATATAAAAACCATTCTTAGCTCACAAGTGTACACAAACCAGATGGCAGACCAAATTTGGACCACGGACTACAGTTTACCAACTCTTGCTAAGGAAGCTCACATTAAAAGACTGGTGAAACCCCAGATGAAACTTAACAGTGAATGCTGACCTACACTAATACAGCACAACAGACCGCTCATAGCTCAGTTTTGAGAAGTCCAGTGATAAACGGTAGGTCAAAATGTAGACGTTAAAAGTCAATACAAAATGCTAAATAAATTACAGATGACATGTAAGCTTAAATTATATGTGATGCAATAACATCACAAGTACACATCAATCCATCTGTTTCTGTAAAGTTCAACAGTGTCCTACCAAATGGCAGCTCTTTCATTGAAAGTCAGGACTCCACCGGGTGTCATTATGCCTGGAAATGCACGGTACTACTATGGGAATTAACACAGAAGTACATAAGCAGTGTCTTCTCAAGGGGTTCACAAACAAGTGAGAAGAAAAGATTTAGGCAAATGAAACAACTAGGAAACAGTATAAAATAGTATTCAAAATAAATATATTCTATAACAAGGGTCAGCAAACTATAGCCATTGTGGCTTGATTTTACCAGGTTCTCAAGCTAAAAATAAATTTTACATTTTTAAAATGTGTCAGGGATCCTCAAAACCACACCCAGATTCAATGACACACTAAGACAACTCACAGAATTTAACATGATTGTACTCACAAATATTATTTATTACAACAAAAGGATACAAAGCAAAACCAAAGGAAAAAGGAGCAAGGGGTGTGGTCCAGAGGAAACCAGGTGTCAGGTTCTAAATGTCCTCTCTCAGCGTAGTCACACAGGATACACTTAACCCTCTCAGGGGCAAGTTATAACACATTCACTGGGAAAACTCACTAGAGACCCAGTGCCCTAGGTTTTCACTAGGGGTTCAGCACACACGCACATACCAAAATTCTAAATTCCCAAAATGAAAGCAGGTATTCAACGTAAATCACGTTATTTACATAAACAGTTTAGGAACAGTGATAAGTGTACAAACAGCCCAGCACTATTGTAGTTCTGAAAATAATAGGAAATTCAAGTTCCCAGATGCCAGCCAAGGGCCAACTGTGCAAGCAGGCCTTCCTAAGGACAGCAGTCTCAGGCCTGCTATAACACTTTTTTATACACACAGGTACACACAGAGAAAATACAGTATATGACCCACAAAGCCCAAAATATTTACTATCTGGAGCTTTACAAAAAAAGTTTTCTGATTCCTGCTAAATGCTATACTATATTCTTAGTATAAACAAAGTTTTGAAGGAAGCGAGAATGATAACCAACAGCATGTGCTGAAGTCTGATGGGAAAAAAATAAATGAGACTTAGAAAAAGAATATGCTAATCTATCAAATGGTACAGGGCTTTGTAGTTTATAAAACAGTATTTGCAAACCTCATCTTTGTGATCACAAAAATTCTGTGAGTCTGACATCACTGATAACTGGATATCACCATTCCATTTTTACTGATGAAGAAACTAAAATGGCAAATGTTAAGTAATCTGTCCCAAAAAATAACAACTAGTTTATAGTGGAACTGGAACTTCAGATCTTCTAGCTCTAGATCCAGATTGGGATCATCAAATTTGTCTCGGGTTTTCAGAGTCAGAGAGGAATAAGAAAAGCATTAAATGCTTGAGGAATAGAAAAAAAAAAAAATGTATATAGGAAGCATGTATTGTAGGAAGCATACAATGAAAACTAAAAGAAAAAAAAAAATGCCTGAAGGTGTATAAGCCATCAGTAGACCTAAAAGAGCTAAGTACTCGTAGAGAACACATCTGATTTCCAAGTCTGAATAACCCACAGCATATAACCTTACCACATCTCAACTTACCTTTTCTATTCTTCAGCTTTATAGGAAATAGTTTTCTGCCCTGTGTATAGATCAATAATCTTCCCAAAAGGCACAGGGAGTGAATAAAATAAATATATTGTAATTCTTGTCCTAAGTAGTAGAAAGTTTTCTGGTTGTCCCCTTCAAAGAGAACCAAACAAGAATATTTATTTTAAATGCTATTACATTTTACAGTATTTGTCTTCATTGCCTTCTAAACACTAAACAAGGTTGATGTAAATTGTTTCAAAATATTTATTTCCTTTACTGTTTTCTAAGATCTTTTACAATAATCTCTGAAGTAAAGCAATCATCATAAAATCTGGCAAACCTTAGAAAAGCAAACTATGCATACCATGTTAATTCTAAAATCAATGCCATAGGGTTGGCAGAGTTATTATTTGTCACCAAAGAGGGACTTGACTTCAAAAGTAAGCTAAGGGAGTGAGCATGTCAATCGAAAATATCAGTTCCTGTTTAACTCTCCCAATTTCAAGCTGAATGTTACAAAAGACCATTCTTATAGCCATGTATCCAAATGAAATCAGAATCTCTGAAACATAGGCATATTCCAACATATACTTTTCACCCATACAGTCAAAGTCCACTGAGTGCCTACCGAGACCCTGAACGTAGTGTCTAAAACCAGTAAGCAGCACGAAACGGGGCTTCCAATGCAGAGCATGGCAAATAATCCGGTATGACCAGAGCGTGAGGAGGACAAGGGAGAGACATAAGAAACTGGAAAGGGCAGATCACAGAAGACGTAGCCTCAAAAGAAGTTCGGACTGTCTTACAGAGGCAACTGGGAGAGATGTCAAAGGGCTGAAAACAGGAAAGTCACACAGTCAAACACGCATTATGGAAAACTGACTCCAAGGGCAGTGCTAAAAAGTGAATAAAAGAAGTTTGAAATAAGGAAACTTATTTAGAAAATCAGGACCAAAACATCAGCAAAAGCAATGAATAAGGAGATACGGGTAAAAATAGATACTAGAGAAAAGGAAATCAACAGACCCTAGTCAGAATCACACATGAACACCGAAAAACTGAGAGAAGAGAAGAAAACTCAGGTTCCTGACTCAAATATCTGTGTTCAGGGTAAATTTTTGTCCTTCTATTTAAGCAATTCTAAAAACGAAAAAAAAAAAACAAAACAGGTCTGAAGGGAGAAAAAATGGTGATTTCAGTCAGTGATTTAATGTTTAAGGCCCAAGTAACATCCTGCTAGAGGCACTGAGTCAGATGAGGACATGGGTCTGAAATTTCGGAAAGAGATGAGGCCTTAACTATTCTAGAGTCACCATCTACATATAAACGCTAATATTTGAAACGATGAACGTGAATGGGCTCTTTCTCGAGAGTGGGTAGTCATGAGAGAAAAGAACGAAGGGCAAAACCTTCGTGAGTCTGAACATACAAGAAAGGAGCCTTTCAAGTGACGAGGAAAAACTTACTGCATGAGAATGAAGAAACCCCACAAGACTGGCACAATGAAGAAGAGGGAAAGGATCGGCAGATGCAAACGCTGTGAAATAAGGAGAAGGAACGTGGCAGCTGACAGCAGGAAGGTCACGGGGCTGCAGACACAAAAGCCTCCCTTCATCCCAGCACTTGGGAGGCAGAGGCGGGAGAAAAGCTTGAGGCCAGAGTTCAAGACCAGCCTGGACCACACAGAGAGATCCCATCTCCACAAAAAACAAACTTTAAAAACTTAGCAGAGTGTGGTAGCGTGTGCCTGTAGTCCTAGCTATGCAGGAGGCTGAGCCTGAGGATCACTTGAGCCCAGGAGTCTATGGCTGTAGGGACCTGTAATCACACCACTGCACTCCAGCCTGGGGGACAGAACAAGGCTCCGTCTCTAAACTAAACTAAAATAAAAATATTTTTTTAAAAGTCCTCATTTCCATGGCTGAAAAGTAAACATAAGGTAAAGACTGTAGCCTGGGAGTACACAGACTACTTAGAGCTGAAGAGCTCCTCTCTGAAGGGAAGCAGAGAAGTAGGTAGATATGAAGCACAGGACTTGCTTTCAATTTTTTAATAGAAAAGACATCTAGGAAGGTTAGAGGATGCAGGGAAAAGTAGCAACAAAAAGTAGAACGCAACGAGTGAAGCAATGTCTGCTTCTTAAGAAACACACACACACACGCACGCACACACGCACGATAACAGAATCAAGAGACTCTTCATTATAACCTAAAAAAAAGGAATAATGATAAGAGCACATAAACATGCTTTTGTGTACACAGAAGCAGAACATCCAGGGAGTTCCTATCTGGAAATTTCCACCTGTCCTAGTGAAACAGGAAGCAAGGGCTCTTGCTGAGAGAGAACTGGGCCAGGGCCAGGCAGGCAGCTTGATGAGACTGGCAAAGGCTTGTAACAACTGCTCTGGAACATCGAAGAAGGCACATCTAAGAGGATTACAAAGCAACAGAAAGAAAGCAGTACGAATTAGAAAATACATATCTGTGCTATCAAACTATGTCATACATTCTCCCTGCTTAATTTCCTGAGTACCAGAGATGGAGGATAGACTTTATTTAAAGTTGGGCAACTACAGGCAGGAAATTCTGAAAGAGAAATTAGTAAAAAATTTTAAAGACAGAACAAAATAATGCAGTAAAGCACTCAGAATTCTTCACTAGATAAAGAAGAAAGCAAAACCATGAAAAAGTTGAAAGAATAAGAGAAAAAAAGAGCTAGATATAACATTTTAATACCAAAAAATTAGAAAAATCTATACATTTGTAAATGAGATAACATTTAAACTGAAGTTTCCTTTTCCTTCTCTTTAAGAGTAAATTCTGACTTCTACTCCACTAGAAAACAATAGCTTTTGAAACCCATTAAATTCTGGTCTTTGACCATTTTCCTTGATTTGAGTTAGAAAAAGAATTCACCTAAGGATAAAGAAAATTGTAAGTTGTCTTCATACTCAAAAGAACTTACTATTTGCTTAAGGAAACAACGTAAAGATAATAGAACAATAAAAGAGACCAGATTCACAAGGCAAGTTGTGTGAGGTATGCAAAAGAACAAGAAAATTTCAGAATAAGCAGGGAAGCCTTCTTGAAATTTTAAAATAAAGCTTCTTTCATGATAAATAAGATGTCTATCAGTGTAGGGCATTATGAATGGGGCAACAGGAGTAAAAATAACCAAGTTGTGTAAGCACTGCAGTGAAAAAGAGTCTAAAAGAACATTCACTGTAGTCAATAACTAGAGAAGATCCTATAGAAAAATTGGAGCCCGGTTATAAAACACCTAGGACACTGTAGCTCAGAATGAAGATGAGCAGAGAGAAATTACAGGGAGGCATGGGTGTCCAATAATAAAAGCAGTATTTTATGAAACTTTTTCTCCCACTAAAGTGCATATGTTCCTGACTAAATACTGATACATTAGCACAGGCAAAAGAATGGGCTGTATATTAACATGGTGTAACAGATTAGGACGCACACCCTCACATGAATTGAAGACCTGCATGCAGTAAGAATCAGTACTGCTCATTAACTTAAAATGTAGATCTGCTATAAGAAAATCATGATTATAGTGTATCTTTAAAATCTATAAAACATACTTTTACATCATCAGCAAAAATGGTTTAATTTACCATGCTAACAATTATTTTAAAAATAAAAGTTATCACTAAGCTATTTTTATTAATAAAATTTAGCATTTGTTAAAGTAAATAATAGAGGAAATAATACTTACTACTATGGTTTGACTGTCCCAAAGTTTCATCAGCTTTCATGGTCTTACACAGTTCAAAGTACTGAACACACTGCTGAACTGCTGCAGTTATCTGATAAAATAATAATAATAACTTATTAATATAAGAACTTGGCAGCCTTCAAGTCCAAGAAATAAGCAAAATTAATCAAAGCTGGGAAACACTTTGGAGAAATATTTAAGAGATATATTTAGAATAGTGCCTTTCCAGGTACTAAAATTCGTCTCCTCAATTACACTTTAGCTATGGCTTCAATCTGGGCAATACTGAAAATATTTGGAGACCAGCAAATACAATATGGTAGTGGTATCAATGAAAAACATCGACATACACTTTACATTTTTTAGTGAAAGACGCAAAAACTCTAAGGCCATGATGTCAAAAACTCTCTTGCCCGGTTCCCTTGCCTTAGAGTCTTCCCACCCATCCAGCAAAATATCCAATGGATCAAGCCTTCATTTTGTCTCAAATACCAGAAATGCTGAAAAATGATAAAAATCCCATAATTCAAAGAATAGAGTCACCATAAAAATAATCTCCAACCCCTACTGTACCCAGTGACTCTCCATTCTAATTGCTCCCATTCTCCACAAGGAGAGAAGAGATTTCAAACCATCTTCCTCTTCAAAGCACCTACCTACCTGTAGATGCCCTCTTATCCTAATCCCAAAACAAAACAGTAGCCAATAGTGAGTTAATCTCTGACAGTTGTTAGAATTGGTAATAAAGAAGTTGTTAGTGACCTTGAAAAGATCAGTATCAGGAAGTTTGAGGAATAAAGGCAGACTATAAATACAAACTGAAAAAGTAAAGGCAGATAGTATAACATTTATTTTCAGGAAGAGTAGTTGTTAAAAAAAAAGAGGAAAAAAGAGTGATAACAGAGTCTTAGAGGCAAGGCTGAATTCTTTTTCAGATTAGAAGACTACGGGGTAAGACAACAGGGAGGAAGAGTTTGACTAAAATGAAGGTTGTATGAATAGCAGTTCATAATTGTGGCATCAAGGAATATAGGGATTTATTCATCTCATTCATTCTTCCGGCCTCAGTCGTACACAGAAAAGAGTTAACATGGCAGGACTTCTAACTTTAGAAAAGCCTGCCTACCAAGTTGATTCTGATACCATCTAGGAACTTCAACATCAGGAGGGCTCCCACCTTCTGAGAACTGCTAAGAGGGCTTCATTGTACCCAAACTGTACAAAAAATGTAGTTTCTGATAAACACCTGCTGTCCTTCTAGAAGTGTGTAATTCAGCGATGCAATAGGCAGAGTGTCAACGTGAGCGCACCTCCCACCCCCCCCTTAAAAAAAAATCAGGCACTATGTCTATTCAGTGTCAGAAGAATCAAGCATGTTCTATGTGATCCAGTGAGAAAAAGATTCACGGAAGCTTGTACTGTCACATCCTCCAGACTTCAGCCAGTGCACTTCTTGTCTTTGCTGGCTCTGCTTGGTATCCTTTCACTTTAATAAATGTTGTCAGGAGTATAACTATAAGCTGAGTCCTACGAGTCTACCAGCAAATCATTAAATCTGGTGGTGGTCTTGAGGACCCCTTCTCCCTTCCATATCTGTGTGTCTTGTCTAAATCAAACTTCAGAAATCCGAACCCATGCCTCCTGGAGATCTGCATTTCAAACTCAGTATGACCAATTCTACCAAGTCTAAAAATCATCATCTTTCCTAGCAAATGTTTCTTCCTACTGCGCTATTCATCTGAATGAATGACATGAATCACTCAATTAGGCTGAGGCTTCACCACGCCCATTCAACAGCCAAGTCCTCAAACTCCCGTATCCTAAGTGGATATTCTGAGCCCATTTATCCACGTTCTCACTGTCATATTCTTATTCGTTCTTCTATCATCTTTTGCTTGGATTATCATATAGTCCCTCAATCATCTTTTTGCTTCAATACTTATCACATCTACACCTACCACCTTCAACACGTTTTCCAATAAAAAGAAACCCAAGATTAAAATAATACTTGCCATTTAGGGGAACTTTTCACATGACAAAATTAATAAAAAATACATTTAGGAGAATCTCTAAAGAATTAGGAAATAAAAGAACAAACAACAGTCAGCTTTAACTAAGACCTCAAAACTGTCTCCAAAATAATCTCTCTCTAGGTTAGCTGCAGTGGCTCACACCTGTAATTCCAGCACTTTGGGAGGCCAAGAAGAAAGGAAAGCTTGAGTCCAGAAATTCAAGACCAGCCTGGGTAACGTGAGACCTCATCTCTACAAAAAGTAAAATAAAATAAAATAAATGTTTAAAAAACTAAAGATAAAAACAAAATACTCTCTCTCAAAGACTTCTGAGTTCATGTCCACTCAACCTTTAGAAGCCAACTCTCCTACCCTAACCCCACTGGCTTTATCCCCACCTTCACAGGCACTCCCTTCTGCTTCTTCCACACCTTTCCCTCTCCCCTTTTATTGTAAAGATGTGAGGTACAATTCAGGGTTAGGTATACAAATGTTCATTATTCAGGTACCCCTTGTTGATGAGGTGTGCCCCTCTCTCCTCTGCAGTTTCCCTCAACTGCCAATCTCACCCCCTCTCCCCTGGCAGTTTCCCACTATTGTCAATCCCTTTTTTATAGTATTATGATAATTGTTCAAGGTCCGCTTATGAGTAAGAACATAGAGTAGTCTGTTCTTTGTTTCTTTAATAGATCACTGAGTATAGTAGACCCTAATCCATCCAAGTTGCTCTAAAGTCCATATGTTTGTCCTTCTTGATGGCTGCATATATTCCATTGTGTTTATGTACCGTAGTTTTTTAATACAGTCCTGCTTCGCTGGGCAGCATGGTTGGTTCTATGTTTTTGCTACTGTGAATAGAGCTGCAATAAACATGCATATGCAGGTATCTTTTTTGTAGAATGATTTGAGTTCCTCTGGCTATATTCTTAATAGAGGGATTGGGGGTCATATGGAAGATCAATGTCTAATTCTTTCAGAAATCGCCACACTGTCTTCCAAAGAGGTTGCACTAGTTTGCATTCCCACCAGCAGTGTAGAAGCGTTCCTTTTTCTCCACATCCTCACCAGCACCTGTTGTGGTTCGTTTTACTAATGATGGCCATTCATATTGGGGTTAGGTGGTATCTCAATGTGATTTTGATTTGCATTTCTGTGATGTGAGAAATGAGCACTTAGTGAGGCTGAGCACTTTTTCATGTGTCTGTTGGCTGCCCAAATATCTTCTTTTGAGAAGTGTCTATTCATGTCTTTTGCCTGCTTTTTAATGGGGTCCCCCTCGCTTTCAGCTCGTTTGAGTTCCTTGTAGATTCTAGATGTTAGGTCTTTGTCAGATATATAATTGGCAAACATTTTATCCCATTCTGTAGACTGCATGCCTGCTCACTTGATGTTTTCTTTTGCTTTATAGAAGCTTGTAAGTTTGATAAGGTCCCACATGTCTATCTTATCTCTTACAGGGTGGGCATGTGGGGTTTTAATAAGGAATTGGTTGCCAGTTCCAATTTCCATAAGGGTGTCTCCTGCATTTTCTAACGTGCTCACAGTTTGAGGTTTTATGATTAGGTCTTTGGTCCATTTGGGGTTAATTTTTCTGTATGATGATAGGTAGGGGTCCTACTTCAATCTTCTGCATGTGATCAGTCTGTTTTCCCAGCACCAATTGCTGAATAGGTTCTCTTTTCCCCAGTGGTTGTTGGAGGCTTTGTCAAAGATGAGTTGGTTGAGAAATTAAGGTTTTGTTTCCAGAATCTCTATTCTGTTTCCTTGTTCAATATGCCTATGTTGTACCAATACCAGGCTATACTGATTATTGTAGCCTTATATAAACTCTTAAGTCTGGAGATGTGAAACCTCCTCCCTTGTTTCTTTTGCTAAGGATTATTATGGCTATTCATAGTCATTTCTATTTCCATATGAATTTCTGTATTGTCATTTCCAGGTCAGAAAAGAATGATGTTGGTAATTTAATGGGTAATGCCTTGAATCCGCAGATTGCCTTTGGCAGGATGGACATCTTAACAATGTTCCTATCCATAAGCATGGACATTTTTTCATTTATTTGTGTCTTCTTGGATTTCTCTGAGCAGTGTTGTGTGGTGCTCATTGAACTACATTTTCACTTTTCTGGTTAGGAAGATGTCAAGGTCTTTTTTTGTGTGTGTGTGGCTACTGTAAATGGGATTGTGCTTTTTATTTGGGTCTCCACCTGCTTGTTGTTGATGTACAAGAATGCAAATGTCTTTTACACATTTATTTTGTACCACGAGACTTTGCCAAAGTCATTTATCAGTGCAAGCAGGTTTTTGGCAGATTCTCTTGGATTTTCGAGGTATAGGATCATATCGTCAATAAAGATGCCATAACTTACTCTTTTCTTATTCAGATACCCCTAATATCTATCCTTCTCTTGTCTAATTGATCTAGCTAGGCCTTCCAGCACAATGTTGAAGAGATGAGAGTGGGCAGTCTGGTCTTGTTCCAGTTTTCAGGGGAAATGTTTCCAGTCTCTGTCGATTTAGCAATATGCTAGCTGTGGGATTATACTAGATGGTGCTTACCATTTTGAGGTATGTTCCTTCTATACATAGGTGTTTGACGGTTTTTATCAAGAAGAAATGTTGGGATTTATCAAAAACTTTTTCTGCATATAATTATGCAATCATGTGGTTCTTGTTTTTACATTTGTTGATGTATTTAATTACATTTATGGTCTTATGGAAGCTGTACCAGACCTGCATTCTGGGAATGAAGCCTACTTGGTTATGGTAGATGATTACTGAGTTATGTTCTTGGATCCAATTTGCTAGAATCTTGCTTAAGATTTTTGCATCTATGTTCATAAGGGATATTGGCCTGTAGTTCTTTTTTGTTGGATCTCTACACGGTTTGGGTATCAGTGTGATGTTAGCTTCGTAAAATGATTTGGGGAGAATTCCATCTTTCTCAATTGCATGGAATATTTTCAATAGGATTGTTATCAGTTCCTTCTTATAGGTTTTGTAGAATTCTGCAGAAAAGTTTGCCGAGAAGCTGCTTTATGAAAGTTGGTGCTCCTATGTTGGGTGCATATATGTTTTAG